AATCCCAGCACTCAGGAGGCAGAGATCTGTCTGGATCTCTGTGAGTTCAAAGCCACCCTGAACTACATGGGATTGACTCAGTCTAGCAGAGAAATAGAGTCAGGTGGTGGGGGCGCATGCCTTTAATCCCAGCATTTGAGATCTCACACCTTTATTCCCAATATTTGGGAAGCACACATGCCATTAATCCCAGCACTAGAAAGGAAGCGATGGCTGGGAGGAGAAAGGTATATAAGGCATGAGGAGACAGGACCTGAGGGCTTGTCAGACTGAGGAGTCCTAGAGGTAAGACGAGGCAGTGGCTTGTTCCTTTGTCTCTCTGATCTTTCAGCATTTACCCCAGTATCAGGCTCCAGGGTTTTTTGGTTTGTTTGTTTGTTTGTTTTTATTTATTATGTTTACAGTGTTCTGTTTGCATGTATACCTGCAGGCCAGAAAAGGGCACCAGATCTCATTACAGATGGTTGTGAGCCACCATATGGGTGCTGGGAATTGAATTCAGGACCTCTGGAGGAACAGCCAGTGCTCTTAACCTCTGAGCCATCTCTCCAGCCTTTTTCTTTTCTTCTTTTTTTTTTTTTTAAATTAAAAGACCATTTTTTTTTCTTGGTTTTTTTTTTTTTTTTTTGTTTTTGTTTTGTTTTTTGTTTTTTGTTTTTTGAGACAGGGTTTCTCTGTGTAGCTTTGTGCCTTTCCTGGAACTCACTTGGTAGCCCAGGCTGGCCTCAAATTCACAGAGATCCGCCTGGCTCTGCCTCCTAAGTGCTGGGATTAAAGGCGTGCACCACCACCGCACGGCTAAAAGACCATTTTAAGATTCGTGTTACAGAAACTGATGAGCCAGGTTTTTTTTCCAGCCAAAATCTATTTCTTCTGGATTGTTTGTGAAATGATCCAAGTGAGGCAGTATTGACTACCATGCTGATTAAGCCAATTAAAAGTTTTGAGTCTTTTTTTTGTTGTTGAAGGCCGGGCCAAGAGAGGGCCCGTGTCTCTGGAAAGTCTCTTGGTGCCCAAGCTCACAGTTCAGTGCTGTTAAAGTTCGAGCACAGTTCGAGCAGTGCTGGAGAGCGAGGGGGTTTGCAGAGGCCTGGTAACATCTGCATAATTTGTTTGGACCATGGTCAAGGTCAGGGACAGTCCCAAAGCCTTTGCCAAGGCTGTTGGGGTGGTAGTGAGGAAGGAAGGTGAGAAGGGTCTAGGCAGACACACAGACGGACAGGATTGATGTTACCCCAGTCATTTCTCTTTCTTGATTTTGTTTCATTTCAATTTGTTTGTTTGTTTGTTTTGTTAGAATTGTGTTAGTGCTTTTGTGGAGGGTTGTTTTGCTTTTAGACAAAGTTTCACCCTGTAGCACCATGCTGTGAAACCCACCAGACTGTGAAGCCCAGGCTGGCCTCAAACTAATAGCAATCCTACTGCCTCAGCCCCCAAGTACTGGAATTTCTGGTATGGTCCGTCATGATCGGAACTTTTTTTTTGGACAGGTCTCACTAAGTAGCCCAGGCTGGCCTAGAACTTGCTATATAGCCCAGAGTAGCCTTGAATCATAATCCTCCTGCCTCATTCTTCTGAGTGTCCACACACTCATGCATACACACACACACACACACACACACACACACACACACACACACACACACACTAATAAATAATTTTTGAAAAAGATAATGGGGGACTAGAGAGGTGGAGGATGAAGGCTCACAGGATTTTCTTGGGTTCTTAGAAATCCTAAGTCCCATCTTCCATTTGGTACTCACCACCAAAAAGTTCTAGACCCAGTAAACAGTGTGCACACGCTTGGGTCCTCCCTGCCAGCATGGGCAGTGCCCTTTGGCAGTTATGTGCATGTGGGATGTTCAAAAGACTAAAACACACCAGGACCTGGGCGATGCTTCGGTGAGCAAAGACCTGGCTTCAATCCCGAATACCCCGTGGAAGGAGACTCCTGAAGGCTGGCGTCTGACTTCCACCACCACGCACACTAGCATGTGTGCACACACCTCCCCCTGCACTCACACATAAACAATGTCATTTTAAAAATAAAGACTAGGCACCCAGCGTTGGACAGGGTTCTGGAAATCAGCGGGTGAGCGGAGGAGGGCTTCAGGCTCAGTGTCTGTTAACACAGCGCCTTCCTAATGTTTACTGTGGAGCACGAAGTGTGAGAGCGGCCACCTGGCCTCCCCGAGAGGCTGGTGGTAAAACAGGATGTTTTCGGGAGGCTCTGGGGGAGGGGCGGGCACTCTGGAAGGACCTGGGAGCGTCCAGGAGTTACAGCTTCCCCAGGCCCCTGGACTGGGCTCCGTCCGCTCCTCGAGCCGGCCGGTAGGTGTCGCTGTGGTCGTGAAGTCCTCCGGGCCGCTCCGAACCACAGCTGCTTGTGACTGAGCTCCCCAAACTGCACGTATCTGGTGGAGGCAAGAGTCTTACAGCGGTAGGGACAGCCCTGGGGGGCTTCTGGTCATCCAGCTCTTCTTCTGGCTGAGGGACGACTTCCGTTCCTCTGCACCCCAAAGGCATTTTTTTTTTTTTTTCGAGACAGGGTTTCTCTGTGTAGCTTTGGTGCCTGTCCTGGATCTCACTCTCTAGACCAGGCTGGCCTCGAACTCACAGAGATCCGCCTGCCTCTGCCTCCCGAGTGCTGGGACTAAAGGTGTGTACCACCGGCGCCTGGCCCCAAAGGCATTTTTACTGTCATCTGACATTCAGTCAAAAACTCATCTAGCCAGGGGTGGTGGCGCATGCCTTTAATCCCAGCACTCGGGAGGCAGAGCCAGGTTGGATCTCTGTGAGTTCGAGGCCAGCCTAGTCTACAGAGCGAGATCCAGGGCAGCCAGGGCTACACAGAGAAACCTTGTCTCAAAAATCAAATCAAATCAAAACAAACAAACAAAAACATACTTATTGAAAACTAAGCTGAAATACTATACTAGTTTACACAGATGTGGAACGAGATTCCCGGGAGTTACAGACTAGGTCAAGGTCACAGGAAGGGCTAGCACTGTGACAGACCCAAGCCGGGTGCCTTTCCCACCCCAGGATATTAAGATGGCCCCTGGTATAGATCTGTAGTCTATATTTCGTATTATCTACAGGCTGGTGGTCTCAAAGGCAGTAAGTTTCCTCAGGAAGGGGCCCGGGTACAGGTTAGTGACAGCCCTTGACCAGCATATACAAGGCCCTGTACAGTTTGATCCCCACCATGGGTGGGAAAAGGCCAAAATGAGAGTGATTGTCTCTAGTTGTGAATCACTCAGGGGCTAGGAGAATACTAAAGAGAAGTACACGTTCTTAGCCCTAAAGAAAACCGTTTGGATTTAGTCCTGTAAACTAAAGAAAAATCAACTGGTGTGACCCTGATTCAGCTTGGCAAACATGGGTTGTCTTCCTCTCAGCATGGTTTGATGTGTGTGTGGGGATTATGTGTGTGTGTGGGGGGTGTGAGTAGTCGTGTGTGTGTGTGTGTGTGTGTGTGTGTGTGTGTGTGTATGAGTGTGTACATGTGTGTGAGTGGGTGTGGGCATGGGCGTGTATGTGGGGGTGGGGTATATGTGAGGGTGGGAGTGTATGTGTGGGGGGGTGGGTTCAGGTGTGGGTGTGGGTTGTGTATATGTGTATATGTGGGGTGTGTGTGTGTGTGTGGTGTGTGTGTGTTTATGTGTGTGTATATGCAGAGGCCAGAGGAGAGCGTCAGGTGTCCTGCTCAATCCCTCTCCATCTTATTGCCTTGAGACAAAGTTTCTCACTGAATCTGGAGCAAGGCTGATGACCAGCAAGTCCCAGCCATCCTCCTGTCTCCACCTGTCCCCCAGCACTGGACTTATAGGCATATTTGTGCTCTATCTGGCTTTTCACATGGATGCTGGGAATCTGAACTTGGATTCTTGTGCAGGCCCTCTTGCCTCTCCAACCCTGTGTTTGTTTGGTTTGGTTTTTGAGAGTTTCACTATTAGCTGATCTAGAACTTCTACATAAACTAATCTGACCTTCAGGGGACAGTGATCCTCCTGCCTCCCCACCTGAGTGCTAGGACCAGAGACCTGGGCCACCATCCCTGTCAGCAGCTCCACTCAGGCGTCAAGGGATAATAGAGGCAGAATTACAGGGCTCAGACCACGGGAGAGCTGGTTTCCAGCACACACAGGGCTAAAACACAAAAGCATTCCTTGTGTTTAGTGATGTCATCCTGAGGGAGAGTCCGGTCTTGAAGCTGGGTCACAAGGGCAGTCAGAATGCATCTGGCAATGTCTTAACCTTCTCAGTACCTGAGGGTTTAAACATTAAGACGCCACTGTTTCTAAAGAAAGACATTTCTTAAAAACAAAACATAACAATAAAAAAAAAAGACCTAAATTGTCAGATGCGGCGGCACACACCTGTAATTCCAACTACTTAGGAAGGTGAGACAAGAAGATCCAGAGTTTGAGTCCATCCTGGCCATCTGGTAAGAAGTTGTGACAAAATGAAAAAAAAATGAAAAAAAAGTTTAGACATGTATCTCAGTGGTAGAGGGTTTGCCTAGCATTCATGGGTACCTGGGTTCGTTCCCACATAGAACCCCAAAAAGGGAGAGCTTAATATGTTGATTATGAGTACTTAACTGTCCACTTCAATATTTATATTTAAAAATTGGACTAAAGCTAGACATGGTCTGGGCAGTGGTGGCACACACCTTTAATCCCAGCACTCTGGAGGCAGATCTCTGTGAGTTTGAGGCCAGCCTTGACTACAGAGTGAGTTCCAGGACAGGCTCCAAAACTACACAGAGAAACCCTGTTTTGGGGTGGGGGAAAAAAAAAGATGGATATGATGGTTCACACTTATAATCCCAGCATTTGAGAGAGACTGAGGCAGGAGGATCACTTTGAGTTCAAAATCAAACTGGGTCTCAGTGTGAGTGACAGGCCAGCCTGAGATTCAACGTGAGGTCCCATCTCCAAAAAAAAAAAAAAAAAAAAAAAACAAGCCAAACATCATCTTTCTTAGGTCTTTGTTTTTGTACAGCCTGGGGTAGCAGCTCAGACTAAACTCGGCTTTCTCAACACAAGGACACCAATGGCTCAAGAGACTTGAGAACACTTTCTCTGAGACCATTGGTTTCAGATGCCTGGGAACCGCGTCTCTGGTCACTGGTAAGTAGGTTTTTTTTCTTCTTTTTGTGAACAAAGGCAAAGATTTCCTCTTGAGAAAGGAGTTAAAAGCTCACAGTTACAAGCTGGGTGTGGTGGCACATTCTCTAAGTTCTAGCCATGGCAGGAGGCCAAGCCCACTCTTATGTGGTGAAAGTCTGTTTTAGCCAGTTCTCAACACAAAAATAAGCCAACAGGTGTAGGTATGGGTCAGAGACTCGCCCTCCTATTCAGGCCTGCAGCAGTCAGAGTCCAGAGACTGGCCTGGGACAGCCATACCCCAATGAGGGCTTGCATTTTGACTGTCGGGATTTAAAAATAGATGTAGAGGCTGGAGAGTTGGCTCAGGAGTTAAGAACACTTGTTGCTCTTGCAGAGGACCTGGGTTTGGTTCCCTGCACTTACATGGTGGCTCACAACTGCCTGTCTCAAAAAAACAAAAACAAAAACAAAAACAAAAAACCATATTTGCAGGGCATGGTGGTGCATGCCTTCAGAAGCAGGTAGATCTCTGTGAGTTCGAAGCTAACCTGGTCTATAGAGCGAGATCCAGGACAGGCACCAAAACTACACAAAGAAACCCTGTCTCAAAACAAACAAACAAACAAAAACAAAAACAGAGAGAGAATGAGAGAGAGAGAGAGAGAGAAGAATCTAAAGAATATTGCACCTTTTTTCATTCTTTTTCCCCCTTTTTTCTATTTTTAGACATGGTCTCTTGTAGCACAGGCTAGCCTCAAATTCCCTATTCAGTGAAGAATGACCTTGGAATTCTGACCCTTCTAGCACCACACCTGGTGTATGCAGGGGAACCTGACCCAGGTGTTCATGCATGGGAGACAAGCATTCTACCAACTGAGTCATAGCCCCAGTCCTGAGGTTTTCATATTTAAAAAGATTTGGGGCGATGACCTGCTCAATCACCCTGCACACACATGCCACACCTTCTCCATCCTCTGCCTGTGCACACACACACCACACCACATCCTCCTCCATCCTCTGCCTGTGCACACACACACCACACCACATCCTCCTCCATCCTCTGCCTGTGCACACACACACCACATCCTCCTCTGTCCTCTGCCTGTGCACACACACACCACACCCTCCTCCCTCCCCCATCTCTTAAACACCCCCACACACACACACAAGCACTGTGAGCAGCAGCTCCACATGGGCCATTCATCAGCTTTCACACTGTTTGAGGTCATAGCTCTGTCACAAGCCTGTTTTACACACACTCCTGGTAGCTTCTCTCTCGCACTGAACCACACTGATCCAGACTGTGTGGAAGGGCACCAGAGGAAGAGAGCAGGGCAGGGAACCTCCACCGCCTCTGGGTTAGCTGCAATTGGGTTATTGACCACATAATAATGCCTTTAAGTCTTTAAAGGCCTTTTTTTTTTTTTTTTCTCCAGTGATGAGGCAAATGCTATCAGGCCATGGCATGCAGTAGCAAAATGCTATCATCTGGAGATACTGTAATCAAGTGGATACTTTGACCAAGTTACAGAGAGCCAGCTTTGGGGTAAGCAAGGATTTCCTGCCATAGAGCTTTTGTAAACAAAGAATATAATGAGCTTCCAACTCTAAAGGGAAGATCCTATTGCACATGGACATTTATGTGTATAAACACATGCACTTACACATACATGTATTTACATCTATATTTATGTAGATATACACACAAATATAAATATTTTGTTTATTTATTTATTTTGAGTCAGGGCCTCTCTATATAACCCCAGCTGTCCTGAAACTCACTCTGTAGACCAGGCTGGTCTCTAATTCAGAGATCCCCCTGCCTCTGCCTCTCGAGTGCTGAGACTAAAGGTGTGCCCACTGCTGTAGTATTATAAATCTTTTTTTAGCCTTCCAAGGGGACTGGGGCCATTCACCAGGATAGTTATCTACCAAGGAAGAGGGGGAGAAAATCTCATTCATGAAATATTTAAGAATTTTCCCCATTTGTTTATTTTTGTGTACATATAGAGGTCAGAGGACAACTTTTAGGAGTTGGTTCTTGCCTTCTGTGTGGGTCCTGGGGAGTAAACTGAGGTCAGTAGACTTGGTAGGAAGAGCACTTACCTGCTGGGCCATCTCTCTGGCCGTAGTGGGGAATCTTTAAATACCGATTCTGGATTGGTACCGATTCCTATTCTTTCAGCATTGACGTAAACTCAAAGTAGGAGTTCTGGGCTGGAGAGATGGTTCAGTGGTTAAGCACCCAAGCTTTTGCAAGAGGACTCAGGTTTGACCCCCAGCACCCACATGGCAGCTCACAACCGCCTGTGTCTCCAGATACAGGGGTCAGATGCCCTCTTCTGGCCTCTTCAGGTCCTTGCCCACATGTGGGACACACTCACTCAGGCACACACATATATTCATAAATAATAGCCGGGCGGTGGTGGCGCACGCCTTTAATCCCAGCACTTGGGAGGTAGAGCCAGGCGGATCTCTGTGAGTTCAAGGCCAGCCTGGGCTACCAAGTGAGTTCCAGGAAAGGCGCAAAGCTACACAGAGAAACCCTGTCTCGAAAAACCAAAAAAAAATAAATAAAAAAAAATAATAATAATAAATAGATGGCACACACCTTTAAGCCCAGCATTTAGCAGGCAGAACAGGCAGATCTCTGAGTTTGAGGCCAGCCTGGTCTACATGAGTTCCGGACCAGCCAGAGTACATAGTAAGAACTTCTCTTTTTATTTATTTATTTATCTTTTTTGTTTGTTTGTTCATTTTGTTTTTGTTTTTGTTTTTCAAGACAGAGTTTCTCTGTGTAGTCCTGACTGCCCTGGAACTCACTCTGTAGATCAGGATGACTTCAAACTCACAGAGATCTGCCTGCCTCTGCTCCTGAGTGCTGTGGGATTAAAGGAACGCACCACCCTCCTCCATCACCCCGCCTCCCCAGAATCAGTCCCGGCAGTATGTTTTGCAAAGTCTGACTCACTGTGGCTGGTGTGTCTCATGAGTCTGTGTCATTCCCATCCTGGAAGACGTACTCAGAACACATACATGCCCAGTTCTTGTCTGGACTCTCGTGCTGGCCCCTAGAGGACACAGAAAGTGTTGTAGAATATTAATTTGTGTTACATCCGTTTATGCTGTGGAATAGTGGTTTAATGATGCAAAGACATGTTACATTTCTTTGATTAAATAAAAGTAACCTGTGGTCAGGAGGCTGAGTCAGCAACCAGCCAGAAGGAAGTGGCAGGAGGAACCATGTGTAGCTAGGGTTCTGAAGTGGGGGCAGAGCAGAAGGACGCCCTGTTTTGGGGGAGTCCTGAGCTGGGAGAGAAGGTCAGCTACTTGCTTGCTATTCAACCTCTCTGAGCAAGCAGAATTTCGCCTCAACCTTTGAATCCCGAGTTCTGTAGAGGGACAGAGATCTAAATAAAATTTCCTTTAGGGGCCGTGATAGAGCTGGTGCCCGAGGAACAGATTCCCGCCTGGCTATGGCCAGTACGGCCAACGGCTGTGGAGTTGCAATTACCGATTAGGACAACAGTTGCTTAAGGACAGCTACTGAATTTAATGAGAAACAAGAAGAAGGGGGCTCTTTTTTTCCCTCCCTCTAACTAAAGAATTAAAAGGTAGGAAAGAAATGATACTGGAAATCTTGGGGAGTCCCAGCAGAGCCATCACAGGATACCTGGGAAATTGGGATGCTCTCTTGGGGATCTTTGTTTCATTAATAAAAGAATTTGCAGTTGGTCGGTAGTGGCACACGCCTTTAATCCCAGCACTCGGGAGGGAGAGGGAATCTCTGAGTTCAGGGCCAGCCTGGTCTACAGAGTGAGTTTCAGGATAGCCAGGGCTACACAGAGAAACCCTGTCTTTGAAAACTAAAAATAAAATAAAATAATTTAACAACAATCACAGAGGGAAACAAGTGTGCGGACAACTTTGAGTTTAAAAGGAAAACCCTGGGGCACGCTTCTCATGGCTGAAAGGGAGGAAAGACCAGAGAAGAAACAAAAGTCACACTGCCAGAGATGAGGCAGGGAGCTCAGCCGCCTGGCGTCAGGAGAGCCTCAGAAAAAGAGGAAGGTAGCCCCAAAGGGGAGTGAAGAAGCATACCTAGAATGGGGTTGGTGGCGCACACCTTTGATCTCAGCACTCGAGAGGCAGAGGCAGGTGGATCTCTGTGCATCCAAGGCCAGCCTGGGCTACAGAGCGAGATCCAGAACAGCCAGGGCTATGTAGAGAGACCCTGTCTTTAAAAACAAAAATAAAAATAGGAAAGAAAAAAAAAGCATACTTAGGCTTTGTCCATCATCTGGAAAAAAAGAGAGATGGCTAGTCGTTTCTTAGGCCACAGAAAGGCAAAGGCAGTTTGTCTTTTTTGTTTTGTTTTGTTTTGTTTTTTTGTTTTTCAAGACAGGGTTTCTCTGTGTAGCTTTGTGCCTTTCCTGGAACTCACGCTGTAGACCAGGTGGCCTCGAACTCACAGAGATCCGCCTGGCTCTGCCTCCCGAGTGCTGGGATTAAAGGTGTGCTTCCGCCGTAGCTACCGCCGTCACCACCGCCCGGCGAAAGTGTTTTACTAAGCAATGTATAATACAGTTTTGTGACATTCTCTCAGACCTCTGGGAAAGACTTAAACTTAATTCCATTTTCTTTCTTTTAGAAATGTTTTGTTTTTTTTTTTTTGGTCTTTCGAGACAGGGTTTCTCTGTGTAGCTTTGCGCCTTTCCTGGAACTCACTTGGTAGTCCAGGCTGGCCTCGAACTCACAGAAATCCGCCTGGCTCTGCCTCCTGAGTGCTGGGATTAAAGACGTGCGCCACCATCGCCCGGCAGAAATGTTTTGTTTTATTGAGATAGGGTCTCAGGTAACCCAGGCTGACCTCCAAACTTGGTATATAGCTGAAGCTGGCCTTGAACTCCAGAGCTTCCTCTTTTCCTGTCACAGTAAATCAAAACAAAGCTTAGACCCCACGCTGGGATGACTGTGCCATCAGTGTGGCTGGAGTTTATTTTTGCCTTTTACGATTTGGGGCCGAAGCTTCGGGCTTCACCCTGTGACTCTACTTCCCTTCTCATTCCGAGGGTCGTGGCTCCTCCCTGGGTCTTTCTGGAGGAAGAGAACAGGAACAAGAGTGAGGTGCTGGGTTGAGCACAGCCTTCTGAAGGCCTGGAAAGAAGAAGCAGGCAGAAAAGATGAGGGAAGGGAGCTGTCCGGGGCAATCTCTCGGAGGAATGAGGCCCTGGGTGCTCACCCTTCATTCCAAGGGCCTCTGATGCTAGCAGACACCTGTTTGTAGGGAAGAAAGAAAAAAAGAAAGAAAAATCCCAGAGGGTGGGATTTCAGACGCCTGCTAGAGTGACCACAGACAACCTGGAGCTTCATTATCATTCGTTTGCTAAACTGAACACCCTCCAGGTGGTTAAGGCTTAAAAGTTGTGAATAGTGGTGACCCCAAATTCCCAGGAAAAAAACAAATATTCCTCCTGCCGTGAGCCCATCGCCCTCCCCTGCTCTTTATCTAGAATGTGTGGAACCCCGCCCTCCCCCAAGAGCTGAGACATGGATCTGCAGGGTAACCGGCTCAGTCCAGTCACTGCTCAGTGGGGTTTGGCCTTGTTACTGATTTCACACTTCAATAAAAAAGTGACATAGTTTGGGACAAACACCGCCAAGAGACAGAAGGAGGTCTGGTCTGAAATAAAGTACAGGAAGTAGCCTTCAGTTTCAATCATTATGGTTGTAACGTTTCTTTTTCTCTTTTTTTATTAATTAATTTATTTTTTTAATTACACTCATGATAGTCATTAATTACACTCATGATATTAATTGCATTTGTGGTATTCATTGATTACATTCGCAGTATTCATTCAATAACTATATTTATGATATTCATTAATTACATTAATTGTATTCATTTATTACATTCTTGCTATTATGTCCTGATACTACTGTCCATTTGTGGGGTTGTAACGTTTCTTTTTATTTGTGTATATGTCTAGATGCCACAAGGGCTCAGGAGTTACAGATGGTTGAGCTGCCTGGCGTCAGTGATGGGAACCGAACCCAGGTTCTCTGGAAGGACAGCAACTGCTATTAACCAGTAAGCCATCTCTGAAACTCCCTATGGCCATAATCTTTATCACCAAGGCTTTATGATTTTGTCTGTTTATTTCTTCTAGAGCTGAGGACTGAACCCAGGACCTTCCCTCGCTAAGTGAGTACTCTGCTACCAAGCTGAATCTCCAGCCCCATTATCAGGGGTTTATATGGACAGTGCCTGCCTGGAGTAGTCAATTAAGGTAGACACTGTCCTTAATTTAGAACACATTGTTCATAGACATGGCCTCAGATTTATACTCTGAAAATTAACTGATAAGCCTAAGATATATCCTACGACAGTTAAAAAGGTAGAGTAGTCTAGAACCATTGTAGACGGTGAAGAACTAACCAGGCCAAGGAGAGGGTTCACTGGCTGGTCTATGCCAACTTGACACAAGCTAGAGTCATCAGAGAAGAGGGAACTTCACTTGAGAAAATGCCTCCATAAGACTGTAGGCAACGCCGGGCGGTGGTGGCACATGCCTTTAATCCCAGCACTTGGGAGGCAGAGCCAGGCAGATCTCTGTGAGTTCGAGGCCAGCCTGGTCTACAGAGTGAGATCCAGGACAAGCACCAAAACTACGCAGAGAAACCCTATCTCAAAAAATCAAAAAAAAAAAAAAAAAAAAAAAAAGACTGTAGGGTATTTTCAGCTTTTTTTTTTTTTTTTTTTTTTTTGGAGACAGGGTTTCTCTGTGTAGCCCTGGCTGTCCTGGAACTCACTCTGTAGACCAGGCTGGCCTCAAACTTAGAGATCTGCCTGGCTCTGCCTCCCAAGTGCTGGGATTAAAGGAGTGAGCCACCATCACCCAGCTCAGGTATTTTCTTAATTAGTGATTGATGTGGGAGGGCCTAGCCCATTGTGGTAGGAGACACCCCTGGGATAGCAGTTCTTAATCTGTGTGTGTGTGTGTGTGTGTGTGTGTGTGTGTGTGTGTGTGTGTGTGTTTCAAGACTGGGTTTCTCTGTGTAGCCCTGGCTGTCCTTTCACTGTAGACCAGGCTGGCCTTGAACTCAGAAATCTGCCTGCCTCTGCCTCCTAAGTATTGGCACCACCACTGTGGTAGTTCTGATTTCTATAAGAAAGCAGGTGGAGCAAGCCATGAGGAGCAAGACAGTAAGCAGCACCCTCCACAGCCTCTGCATCAGCTCCTCCTCCAGGTTCCCGCCTGGCTTGAGCTCCTTGACTTCCCTCAGCGCACTGACTCGGAATGTGTTAGCCAAGTAAACCGTTTCCTCCCTAACTTGCTTTTCTGTCACGGTGTTTCGTCACAGCAGTAGTAACTCTGACTAAGACACGTCTGAGCAGGTAAAGGTCCTTGCCGCCAGGCCTGACGACCCTGAGTTTGATCTGCCAGTCCCACGACGCGGGAAGAAAGAGCCAGTTCCTACAAGTTGTCTTCTCAACACCACACTTGTGCCATGGCACATGTACATACACCCCTCCCCGATAAATAAATGTAATAATGAAAAAAAAATCAAGCCTTTCAGAAGTCAGTGTAGGGTTGGGGATTTAGCTCAGTGGTAGAGCGCTTGCCTAGCAAGCGCAAGGCCCTGGGTTCAATCCTCAGCTCAAAAAAAAAAGTCAGTGTGTATGAAGGCTGAGTGTGTCACTGGGGGTTGGTTATAGGAACTGTAACTCTTCAGTTAGCGAGGGCGTATCTCTTGCCTCTGACTTCTCCCATCTCCTCCCACCCTGCACACATGTGCGCCACCCTAAGCTTTTCCTCTCCCAGGCAACATAACCTTTGCTAAGGCTTGAGATCAGAGGAATTTTTACTTTGTGTAGTCCTTGGCACTAAATAAGCAGACCTTGACCCAGCATCAGCAAGACCCACCCTTGGGAGCCATTTAGCGCTGCTGGCACGTCCACAGCAATTAGAGCAAAGGGCCAGAGTTCAGGAACCTTTTTGAGGGAAGCTCTCCTGAGCCAGTGTTGGCCCCATCCTCGGTCCTCACTCTGGATTTAGTTCCTGGAGGAGACAGGGCAGCCCCGCCTCAAAGCACTCTCCACATAGGCACCTTCACACATGCGGCAAGGTTCCTAAACCTGGCTGAGATGGGTCAGTATTAGAAAGAACGCAATTGGGGCTGGAGGGATGGCTCAGCGGTGAGGAGCACTGGCTGCTCTTCTAGCAGACCCGGGTTCAATTCCCAGCACCCACATGGCAGCTCACAACTGTCTGTAACTCCAGTTCCAGGGGATCTGGCACCCTCACACAGGCATACATGAAGGCGAAACATCCATGCACATAAATGCATAATAAATGAATCATTAGAAAAAAAGAGAATGCAAATATTTTTTCCTATGCTGATGATTAAATGTAAAGCCTTCCACAATGAGTAGCAACATTCTAAGACTGGGAAGACCTCAGGTGTTTCACAGTTCGATGTTGCTTTAGGGAGAAATATTGCTTCATCTGGTAATGGTGGCTCATTAGCCACCATTACCTAGCCCTTGGGAGACAGAGGCAAAGACAGGCTGACAGTTCAAGGCCATCCTCGGCTACACTGTAAACTGTCTCAAGAACTGTAAAACCGCCTCAGGGACAAAATAATACAGTCTGTTGCTACAGTGAGGAAAACAACGTGTTCACGTGTTCCCATCAGTGCCGATCTGTGTGCTAACAGCTCCCCAGAAGTTGCCTGCCCTGTCCTAGAGTTTTCCACTCGCTGATCCGCACACCTGCAAGTTCTCCCTCATAGGTATTCATATCGATTGCTCTTGTGCTTCCAAATCACGGAGTGGGGCGGAGAGATGGCCCGGCTGCTACAGCACTTGCCTCAAAAGCTTGGGGACCTGAGCTTGATCACCAGATCCCCTGTAAAAGTCACGGTGACACATTCCTGCGATCCCAGTCCTGTGAAAGGGAAGACAGCTCGCTGGCCAGTCAGTCTAGAGGAACCAGTGAGCTCCAAGTTCAGTGAGATGCGGTCTCGAAAAATAACGCAGTGAAGTGGGATGTGGTGGCGATCACCTTTAATCCCAGCACAGAGGCGAGTGGATCTCTGTGAGTTCAAGGCCAGCCTGGTCTACAGCGTGAGTTCTGGGGCAGCCAGGATAGCTACACAGAGAAACCCGGTCTCAAAAAAACAAAAAAAGTTATTTTAATTAATTAATTATTTTTAATTACACTCATGATATTAATTACATTTGTGGTATTCAATGATTACATTCGCAGTATTCATTCAATAATTATATTTCTGATATTCATTAATTACATTAATTGTATTGATTTATTACATTCATGATATTATGTCCTGATACTATTGTCCATTTGTGGGACTTTTCCATCACACAAAACAGAGATTCTGTATTTAGGAAATCATTGCTCTATATTCCTTTCTCCTCCATCTTGAGATAAGGTCTAATTTTTCTGTCTCTATAAATTTGTATACTCTAAAAAAGAAAAAAAAATACATGTTTGTATACACACAAACATACACACATATACTGCAGAGTGTGATGGAGGGAGACACCAGATGTCAACCTTTGGCTTGCACATGCACACACATGAACATATATGTGCACACACAAATTAGGGAGCTCTTTCCTATGTCCCTTCTAAAATACCCTTGTCTCCGACGACAGCTTTTGCTGCCCTCCCTCCACATGGCTCTTTTCAGTTGTCAATTTGACCACCTGGAATTAACTAAAATCCCAAAATGGAGGGCAGACCAGTGAGAGAGTTTTGTTTTGCTTAATTTGAATAGGGATCTCCACTTCTAACCTGGATCTTGAGGTGGGAAGACACACGCCTTTAATCTGGGCCACATCTTCTGCCAGAAGCCTCACAGGACGTGGAAGAAGGAAGCTTTGCTTTCTGCCTGCTTGCCCTCCTTGCCAGCACATCCATTCCTTCACTGGCAGTAGAGTCTACGTTCTTGGGATTCCAGCACATACTGAAGACCAGCAGAGGCATCCAGCCTCGTGGACTGAGCAACTACTGGATTCTTGGACTTTGTGTTCATAGGCAGCCATTGTTGGACTACTCCTGTAAGTCATTCCAATAAATTCCCTTTCTGTATACAGCTCTGTTACTCTAGAGAACGCCGACTAATACACCCACCTTCAAAATTATTGTACGTGTGTGTGTGTGTGTGTGTGTGTGTGTGTGTGTGTGTGTGTGTGTGTGTAGGTTAGGACGAGTGAGAGTCAATTCTCTTCTTCTAGCACATGGGTTCTGGGATCCAACTCAGGTTATCAGGTTTGTTGAGAAGAACCTTTACCTGATGAACCATTTAACTGGCCCTGGTTTGTTTGTTTGTTTGTTTGTTTGTTTGTTGAGATAGAGTCTCCAATGTGCAGCCTGGCTGGGCTGGAACTCCCCGTGTAGACCAGGCTGACCTCGAATTTGCAGAGACCCACATGCCTCAGCCTCCTGAGCGCTAGAATTAAAGGCTGTGACGTCTTTCTAAACTAACCCTTTTCAGCATTAAGGGCCTCCTCCCTCAGAATCTTTGCTCATTCTCCTTGAGAAGACTCTGGAAGGCCTCTGTTTCAGTCTGGATGACTCCTCCTCTACCTCCAGGGGTCAGCTTGTGTCCCAGGTACCCCTAGCAACTGGTTTTGGTTTGGGATTTGACTTATGATCCGAGGGAGGCAGCAGACATAGTCCTCTCAGGACTGGGGCTGGAGCTGTGAAGTACTCCTTACCATCCGTCCTGAAGAGGCAGCCTGTGGCTGGCGGCCTCTGCTTCCTCCACTTAGGGAAGCTGCCCAAGAATGAAACCCTACTGGTTCTGAAGCAGAGAGGAAGGCCACCAGTCAGGCAGGTGGAGAGTGGCTTAGAGACCTGTCTGGGCCCTAGAGAAGCCCTGCTCTGAGCTCACTATGCTCTCCAGTTTCCCAATCGGGTGAGTGACTCAGTTCCTTCCCAGCACAACCAGTCCAAACCGGGTTTCTACTGAGGACAACCAAATCAGAGATAAGCAGGAAGGCGATGGAGGCAGGAGAAGCCAGCCAGATCCATAGGGAGAGCCTTGTAGCAGGCTTTTTTGGGTCACCAGCCCCCAAATCATGACACTGAGACTTACGATTAATTATGAATGCTTAGCCTTAGCTTAGGCTTCTTTCTTGCTGCCTTTTTTTTTAACTTAAATGAACCCATTTCATTTAATCTATTTGCTGCCCCGTGGCTCATTTACCTCATGTACATACCTACGTACTGTCTATCCTGCTCTCCTGCTTCCTCCGTGTCTGGCAGGCTGCCCCCAGCTGGCTGCCTCCCCTTTTCTCTCTGCCTTGCTATTGGCCATTCAGCTTTTTACTAGACCAATCAGGTGCTTTAGGCAGGCAAGGTGAAACAGATGCACGTCTTTACAGATGTTCTACTCCACAACAGAATCCACCTTTAAAACCCAGACTCAGGCCTTACGTATTCTGTGGTGTGATTTACAGACACTGGTCCTTCCTCGTTTACTTGACATCTACAGCGTCCCACAATCTTATCTACACGGAACTTGATTTTAACAAGGTTATGGATGACAGGGTGTGGGTCCTGGGGTTTTTGCTTGTTTGTTTTCGGCAGATTCTCTTATAGCCCATGGCTCAAACTCACTCTGTAGCTGAGGATGACCTTGAACTTCCGGTATTCCTGCTTCTACCTCCCAAGTGCTGGGATAGAACCAGGTTTGTTTTTTTTTTTTTGTCTGTTTGTTTGTTTGTTTTTGTTTTTGTTTTGTTTTGTTTTGTTTTTCGAGACAGGGTTTCTCTGTGTAGCTTTGTGCCTTTCCTGGAACTCATTCTGTAACCCATGCTGGCCTCGAACTCACAGAGATCGGCCTGGCTATGTCTCCCGAGTGCTGGGATTAAAGGTGTTGTTTTGTTTTGTTTTTGTTTTTGTTTTTTTTTTAGAGAGAGAGAGAGCCTAGAACTCATTATGTAGCTCAGGTTAACCCTGACCTTAGGATCCTTCTGCTTCAGTCTCCCAAGTCTTGGGATTACAAGTGTGCAGAATCACACCTAGCATATATATTTTTTTATTCATTAAACTAAAGTTTATAGAAGTCAAGCACTTTAAGACGGGTGATGATGGTGCAAACCTTCAAGAGGATCTCTGTGAGTTCAAGACCAGCCTGGTCTACAGAACAAGTTTCAAGACAGCCAGAGCTGTTACATAGAGAAACCCTGTCTCAGAAAACAAAAACAAAACAACAGAAATCAAGCACTTTATTCAACATCATACAGCTAATTAACGACAAAGCAAGAACTCTAATGTGCTTCTCTTGATTCTGAGTCTGAGGCCTGAGGCCAGGAGTGAGTGCACATGCCCATGATCCAAAGGCTGAGGCAGGAGGATCTAGAGTTCCAGATGAACGTGTGCTGAACAGTGAGACTACACCTCAAAAATCAGCACAGCACCACACAGCACAGCACTGCACAGCACAGCACTGCACTGAACCACACAACACTGTACTACACTGCACCATGCACAGTACCACACAGCACCACACGGCATAGCACCGCACTGCACCATACAGCCAGCACCATACAGCACTGCACTACACTGAAGCATACAACACCATACTACACTGCACCAAGCACAGTACCACACAGCACCGCACGGCATAGCACCACACTGCACCATACAGCACCGCACTGCACCATACAGCACCGCACTGCACCATACAGCACCGCACTGAACCATACAGCACCACACTGCACCATACAGCACCGCACTGCACCATACAGCACCGCACTGAACCATGCAGCACCACACTGCACCATACAGCCAGCACCACGCTGCACCACACAACACTGCACCGCACAGCACTGCACCGCACAGCAAAACACTATAGTGAACCATACAACACTGTACTGCACTGCACTGCACCAAGCACAGCACAGCACAGCACTGCACCATACAGCACCACACTGCACCACACAACACTGCACTGCACCAAGCACAGTACCACACAACACTGCACTGCACCACACAACACTGCACTACACTGAACAAAGCACAGTACCACACAGCACTGCACTGCATAGCACTGCACCATACAGCACTGCACTACACTGCACAGCACCACACTGCACTATACAGCACCACACTGCACCATACAGTACCACACTGCACTGCACCACACTGCACCGCACTGCACAGCATCACCAAGCACAGCACAGCCTATGGTGTCTTAATTGTCCAGGTTTGTCAGGTGTTTATTTTCCCTCTTAGTAGAAGAGTGTGTCACTGCAGGCAGGATCTTGCTGTGCTTAGGGCAGCTTTCCGGGGGTGGCAGAAAACAGGCGGCACCTTCAGACTGTTCTCAGATCTGCTTTCCCTCAGCAAAGAGCATGTAAGTCGCTGATCAGAACAATGCCTCACACACTGCATGTGTATTACAGTGATGTTTCCACCTTTCTGACGGATCCTCACAATAAGAAAGGTATTTTTAATCTACTCGGTTTATGTACACTCATAGTGAGCATAAGCCTCTACAGAACAAACCTTCCTTACTTGAGACATTTTCTGATGTTGTCTTTTTATGTAGTGTGTATTTAGTTAGTTAGTTACAGGGTCAGACTGTTCTCCAAGTTGTCATCCTCCTGCCTCACTTTCCAAAGTATTATGATTACATTGTATTTTCTACTTTACTCTGTTTCTCTTTTTTGTTGGTTTTGTTTTTTGGTAGTTGCAGAAAACCTGCTCCGAGCTTTTTGAATGCTAGGCAAGCTCTCTGTCAGTGAGCTGTACCCTAGGACTCATACAATTGATACCACAACAAATAATGCATTAATGCATTCCTGGGCCCTGGAGATGGCTCAGCAGGTCAGGGTGCCTGCTGTACAAGTCTGAGGACCTGCGTTTGATCCCTGGATCCCATGGTGGAAGGAGAGAACTGACTCCCAGGAGTTCTCCTGTGACCTACATACTGTGACCTACACACATGTGCTGTGGCAATATGCACCTACATTCACATACACATAATAAATGCATAATTTTTTTTTTTTTTTGGTTTTTCGAGACAGGGTTTCTCTGTGTAGCTTTGCGCCTTTCCTGGAACTCACTTGGTAGTCCAGGCTGGCCTCGAACTCACAGAGATCCGCCTGGCTCTGCCTCCCGAGTGCTGGGATTAAAGGCGTGCGCCACCACTGCCCGGCTAAATGCATAATTTTTAAAGAGTAAAATAATTAATAAAATAAATATTTTATATTAGTCCAAGCTAAAATTTGATGTCATAACTGTTGAGTACAATTGATATGCTAAGCATATTGTGAGGTACAATGGGTAGCATGTAATGTACAATAACAATTTTTTTTCTATTTTATTGTTTTTTGAGACAGGGTTTCTCTGTGTAGCCCTGGCTGTCCTGGAACTTGCTATCTAAACTAGGCTGGCTTTGAACTCACAGAGATCTACCTGCTTCTGCTGCCCAAGTTCTGTACAATAATAATCTTCATGATACCTCACAATATAGTAGGGAAAAAAATTGGAGATAACAGCAGGGGCTCAGCCTGAGGAGAGCCAGATGTGTTTAGAAAACAGGAAGTGTGGAACTCCACTTGGACGAAGATTTGCATGATGGACATGGGAGAGAAGGCTGGTGCTATGTAGCGGGGAATCTGGAGATGGCGTGGTGGGGAATCAATCTGGAGATGGCATGGTGGTGCATGCCCATAATTCTGGCACTTAGGAGTCTGAGGCAGGAGGATTGCAAATTTGAAGACAGCCTGAGCTGAATAGTGAGACCTTGTCAAAGAAAAAAAAAAGTGTAACACCTCCACCCCCACCCCAATGCACACACATTTTCAGGAAACAGGCGTTCACTGAGAGCTCACATCTCTTCCTTCTCTCAGTAAGCTATTTGGGAACCACTAAACCTTTCTAAATGGGTAAGGGAGATGAGTTGATCAAAGAGACATTTCAGTCATTAAGAGCAGTGTCCCGGTTCGCTTTTGTCAACTTGACACAAGTTAGAGTTATCTGGGAAGAGAAATCTCAATTGACAAAATGCCTCCATCAGATTGCCTGTAGGCCAGTCTGT